CACACACCTGAAGGGGGTTTATTCTGAGATCACACACACACACACACCTGAAGGTGTTTATTCTGAGATCACACAGACACACACACACACACACACACCTGAAGGAGGTTTATTCTGAGATCACACACACACACACACACACCTGAAGGTGTTTATTCTGAGATCACACAGACACACACACACCTGAAGGTGTTTATTCTGAGATCACACACACACACACACACACACACACACCTGAAGGAGGTTTATTCTGAGATCACACACACACACACACACACCTGAAGGTGTTTATTCTGAGATCACACAGACACACACACACCTGAAGGTGTTTATTCTGAGATCACACACACACACACACCTGAAGGGGTTTATTCTGAGATCACACACACACACACACACACCTGAAGGTGTTTATTCTGAGATCACACACACACACACACACACCTGAAGGGGTTTATTCTGAGATCACACACACACACCTGAAGGTGTTTATTCTGAGATCACACACACACACACACACACCTGAAGGGGGTTTATTCTGAGATCACACAGACACACACACACACACACACACACACACACACACCTGAAGGTGGTTTATTCTGAAATAACACACACACACACACACACACCTGAAGGGGGTTTATTCTGAGATCACACACACACACACACACACACACCTGAAGGGGGTTTATTCTGAGATCACACAGACACACACACACACACACACCTGAAGGTGGTTTATTCTGAGATCACACACACACACACACACACACACACCTGAAGGTGTTTATTCTGAGATCACACACACACACACACACACACACACACACACCTGAAGGTGGTTTATTCTGAGATCACACACACACACACACACACACCTGAAGGGGGTTTATTCTGAGATCACACACACACACACACACCTGAAGGTGGTTTATTCTGAAATAACACACACACACACACACCTGAAGGTGGTTTATTCTGAAATAACACACACACACACACACACACCTGAAGGTGGTTTATTCTGAAATAACACACACACACACACACACACACACACACACACACCTGAAGGTGTTTATTCTGAGATCACACACACACACACACACACACACCTGAAGGTGTTTATTCTGAGATCACACAGACACACACACACCTGAAGGGGGTTTATTCTGAGATCACACACACACACACACCTGAAGGTGTTTATTCTGAGATCACACAGACACACACACACACACACACACCTGAAGGAGGTTTATTCTGAGATCACACACACACACACACACACACACCTGAAGGTGTTTATTCTGAGATCACACAGACACACACACACCTGAAGGTGTTTATTCTGAGATCACACACACACACACACACACACACCTGAAGGAGGTTTATTCTGAGATCACACACACACACACACACACCTGAAGGTGTTTATTCTGAGATCACACAGACACACACACACCTGAAGGTGTTTATTCTGAGATCACACACACACACACACACACACACACACACCTGAAGGGGTTTATTCTGAGATCACACACACACACACACACACCTGAAGGTGTTTATTCTGAGATCACACACACACACACACACACACCTGAAGGGGTTTATTCTGAGATCACACACACACACCTGAAGGTGTTTATTCTGAGATCACACACACACACACACACACACACACCTGAAGGGGGTTTATTCTGAGATCACACACACACACACACACACCTGAAGGGGGTTTATTCTGAGATCACACACACACACACACACACACACCTGAAGGGGTTTATTCTGAGATCACACACACACACACACACACACCTGAAGGGGGTTTATTCTGAGATCACACACACACACACACACACCTGAAGGTGGTTTATTCTGAGATCACACACACACACACACACACCTGAAGGTGGTTTATTCTGAGATCACACACACACACACACACACACCTGAAGGTGGTTTATTCTGAAATAACACACACACACACACACACCTGAAGGTGGTTTATTCTGAAATAACACACACACACACACACACACCTGAAGGGGGTTTATTCTGAGATCACACACACACACACACACACCTGAAGGTGGTTTATTCTGAAATAACACACACACACACACACCTGAAGGTGGTTTATTCTGAAATAACACACACACACACACCTGAAGGTGGTTTATTCTGAAATAACACACACACACACACACATACACCTGAAGGTGGTTTATTCTGAAATAACACACACACACACACACACACACACACCTGAAGGTGGTTTATTCTGAAATAACACACACACACACACACACACCTGAAGGTGGTTTATTCTGAAATAACACACACACACACACACCTGAAGGGGGTTTATTCTGAGATCACACACACACACACACACACACACACACACACACACACCTGAAGGGGGTTTATTCTGAGATCACACAGACACACACACACACACACACACACACACACACACACACCTGAAGGTGGTTTATTCTGAGATCACACACACACACACACACACACACACACACACACACACACACACACACACACACACACCTGAAGGTGTTTATTCTGAGATCACACACACACACACACACACACACACACCTGAAGGGGGTTTATTCTGAGATCACACAGACACACACACACACACACACACACACACACCTGAAGGTGGTTTATTCTGAAATAACACACACACACACACACACACACCTGAAGGGGGTTTATTCTGAGATCACACACACACACACACACACACCTGAAGGGGGTTTATTCTGAGATCACACACACACACACACACCTGAAGGTGTTTATTCTGAGATCACACACACACACACACACACACCTGAAGGGGTTTATTCTGAGATCACACAGACACACACACACACACACACACACACACCTGAAGGTGGTTTATTCTGAGATCACACACACACACACACACCTGAAGGTGTTTATTCTGAGATCACACACACACACACACACACACACACACACACCTGAAGGTGGTTTATTCTGAGATCACACACACACACACACACCTGAAGGGGGTTTATTCTGAGATCACACACACACACACACACCTGAAGGTGGTTTATTCTGAAATAACACACACACACACACACACACACACACCTGAAGGTGGTTTATTCTGAAATAACACACACACACACACACACACCTGAAGGTGGTTTATTCTGAAATAACACACACACACACACACACACACACCTGAAGGTGTTTATTCTGAGATCACACACACACACACACACACACACACACACCTGAAGGTGTTTATTCTGAGATCACACAGACACACACACACCTGAAGGGGGTTTATTCTGAGATCACACACACACACACACCTGAAGGTGTTTATTCTGAGATCACACAGACACACACACACCTGAAGGTGTTTACTCTGAGATCACACACACACACACACACACACACCTGAAGAGGGTTTATTCTGAGATCACACACACACACACACACACACCTGAAGGTGTTTATTCTGAGATCACACACACACACACACACCTGAAGGTGGTTTATTCTGAAATAACACACACACACACACACACACACACACCTGAAGGTGGTTTATTCTGAAATAACACACACACACACACACACACCTGAAGGTGGTTTATTCTGAAATAACACACACACACACACACACACACACCTGAAGGTGTTTATTCTGAGATCACACACACACACACACACACACACACACACCTGAAGGTGTTTATTCTGAGATCACACAGACACACACACACCTGAAGGGGGTTTATTCTGAGATCACACACACACACACACCTGAAGGTGTTTATTCTGAGATCACACAGACACACACACACCTGAAGGTGTTTACTCTGAGATCACACACACACACACACACACACACACACACACACCTGAAGAGGGTTTATTCTGAGATCACACACACACACACACACACACACACCTGAAGGTGTTTATTCTGAGATCACACAGACACACACACACCTGAAGGTGTTTATTCTGAGATCACACACACACACACACACACCTGAAGGGGTTTATTCTGAGATCACACACACACACACACACACCTGAAGGTGTTTATTCTGAGATCACACACACACACACACACACACACACCTGAAGGGGTTTATTCTGAGATCACACACACACACCTGAAGGTGTTTATTCTGAGATCACACACACACACACACACACCTGAAGGGGGTTTATTCTGAGATCACACACACACACACACACACACACACCTGAAGGGGGTTTATTCTGAGATCACACACACACACACACACACACACCTGAAGGGGTTTATTCTGAGATCACACACACACACACACACCTGAAGGGGTTTATTCTGAGATCACACACACACACACACACACCTGAAGGTGTTTATTCTGAGATCACACACACACACACCTGAAGGGGGTTTATTCTGAGATCACACACACACACACACACACACCTGAAGAGGGTTTATTCTGAGATCACACACACACACACACACACACACACCTGAAGGGGGTTTATTCTGAGATTACACACACACACACACCTGAAGGGGTTTATTCTGAGATAACACACACACACACACACACCTGAAGGGGTTTATTCTGAGATCACACACACACACACACACACCTGAAGGGGTTTATTCTGAGATAACACACACACACACACACAGACACCTGAAGGGGTTTATTCTGAGATTACACACACACACACACACACACACACACCTGAAGGGGTTTATTCTGAGATAACACACACACACACACACACCTGAAGGGGTTTATTCTGAGATAACACACACACACACACACACACACACACCTGAAGGGGTTTATTCTGAGATTACACACACACACACACACACACACCTGAAGGGGTTTATTCTGAGATATTATTCTAATATACACATTATATTATTATGCTGATTATGACAGGCCAGTCTGGAGCCGTGCTGGGCGTGTGGTGACGTCATCAAGGACCATGTGATCCGAGCGCTGGAACGAGCCTATCACCCGCCCTGTTTCGTGTGCGTGACGTGCCGGCAGCCAATCGGAGAGCAGCGTTTTGCGCAGGGGGAAGTGGGAGAGGTTTACTGTCTGCAGGACTATTACAGGTACAGTCAAGTCGAGTCACCTTCATTCATATAGCGCTTTTTACAATACAGATTGTATCAAAGCGCTTCACAGTGATAACATGAAAACAATATTACAAAGTTTGTTTCTAAAAGAAAATTGCGTCAACGTCCACCTTAAGTAAGGCAGATCAATAATATTATTGAATATTAAATGTCCCCAACTAAGCAAGCCAAAAGCCAAGGCAACAGTGGAGGAACCCAAACTCCATCAGGGACAGAATGGAGAATAAACCTCGGGAGAAACCAGACTCAGTCTCTCAGTTCTCCTCTGGCCAACGGGGGAACAGTGTGTGATTCGGGCAGCGTTACAAGTCAGATTGGATCGGAACATTTAGAGTATTTATTAGGGCTGTCAAATGATTAATCGTGATCACATCCAAAATAAAAGTTTTTTTTACATAATATATGTGGGTGCACTGTGTAGAATTATTTTATATATATAAATACACACACATGCTTGTATATATTTAAGAAATATTTTCATGTATATACTGTATATAGATTTATATATAATTTATATTATATATAAATACAAATATTTTATATATAAATAATATATTTTTCTTAAAGCTGCTGTCCGTAGCTTTTTTTGGGTTAAAAATTATCCAAAATACATATTTGATAAAATACATAACCAGCCAGTGTTCAAAACTCTCTGCTTGCCTTAGCTCGATGCAAAACGGTAAGCTTGTAATAATGTTATTAATTCCAGTGGTACTGGTGGATTTCCGCGGGAGATTCGAGCATGTCTTTGCGTCATTACGTCACATCTGTACACACACATCTGCACACACACATCTGTACACATAAAGAAGGAGTCTCGGCTAGTATAAGCTATATTGCGTGTGAGGATGTTGGAGGTGGAGATTTATAGCCTTTTCTCACAGCACTTGATATAATTAAACTTATCAATTTGATGGCGGATACAGAAATATTCAAACGACGATCATCATCAGTGACAACTAGAGACTCACCCGCTGTAAAATGCAGAAGACTTCGTTCGGACTTCTGAGTGGCTACAGAAAAAAAGAGACTGCAACCGGCCCATGCGAAAACAAGGATAATATCGGAAGGACATTACATGATGTAGTCACGCAATGCTTGCTGACGTTGTTAACATTAACAATTAGAGAACATAGTATAGCTACTTTGCACGGTTTTGCATGAAATGATAACTTATAAGCAATTAATCAGCGCGATTTACTGCAATGTCAGAACCAGAACAAAAGTGAATGTTTCTTACTAGTTCAGATGACATTTCCCGGTGAAAATTGTTATGTTGGTCATACTTCCAAAAAGAATAATCTGTGATTCTGAATGACAATATCCACATCGGCGCGGTGACTGACAGCTGCACACTCTCCTCAAACACTGTGTTCATCCGCGCGGTGCCGTGTCGAGGGTGTTGAACTACAACTCACGTAAA